CATAAATATAATCTTTTATACTATTCATAGTTCCTGAAAAATGTTCAGAATGATGTGTTGGGTTAACATTTTCAGTAATTCTTCTAAAAGTTTCATAGAAACAACTATTACATAGTTTTTCATCACTTACACTGTAGTAATTTTGAGTAACACATAAAGGCTGACGACATTGAAAGTTTATCCATTTTATGTTGTTCACAACATTAACTTGGTTTACTTTAAAGTCTAAATAAGTTGGGTCCAATATCAGGATTTCGTTTTCGTCATCAAAATCTGACAAATTATCTTCTGAACCATTCGATAAGTTTTCTAAATGTTCCATAGGAATAATTTCAATATTTGAATCTGTAGAATCACTATCACTGTCCATATTATTTTTATTATATTTAAATGTAATGATCTTTTATAGTCCATCCCCCACCAGTGTAAACATTAAAACTCAAACAAGTTAAACAGCTTTCAAACACAACTGCCATGTTTTTGCTACCTTTAATAACCTCCAGACATGATAACCTCTAAACTGTTAAATAATGACTAAATGACCACCAATCTGTAAGTTTTAACAAGCAGTTAAGTTTTAAAATTAAAAAAATATTGACTGAGGATGAATTCAAGCTTCGATCGAATACTTTAGATTACTCGGTCACACTGTTTTTTAATGTGTTGAAATAAAAGATGGTATATAAAATATTTCTTTAATACAAAAATAAATATCACAATAAATTATTTTTGTTTATCCAAGCATTGTGTGAATTATCCATTCCTAAAAACTTGACTCGAAGCTTATTTCCTTTTTTAGCAATAATTTTTTCTATCAAAAAAACATCGGGGTATTTAACTTTTTGTAATTCTTCAGTATAGAAACCACCTTGAATTTCTTCTTTTTTTTCATCTTCCAATATGTATGTAGTTGGATTTGTTAGTTTAACCTTTTTTACTTTAAAAATTTCGTTAGTCCAATTTGGTGTGTACCCTTTAGTAAAGACATGTCTATATTTGCTAATACGAACAAAGTCCCCTTGCTTAAACTTAGGTTTATGTGGATCAATTGTTTTTAAGTGATTATATGCGATTATATATTGTGCATTTTTATCATTCACTTTACTGGGTATAACTCCTGTAGTTGAATGTCTGGTGTTATTATATTTTTTAACTATTTTAGGAAGAATGTCTAACCATTTATATGATCCTTGTAAACTAAATTCTTTCCATAATAATGTTTTAAGGGTCCTTATTACTCTCTCAGCTATACTAGCTTTTACATTGGAAAAAGTGCTGTAGTGATTAATATTATATTTTCGCATAAGTTCTTGAAATGCCTTATTGTAGAATTCTTTTCCATTATCAGTCTGTAAATTTTTAGGAGGAGTCATCTGTGATAGAATTTGAGCCATACCTTCAGTAACATCTTTAGCCGTTTTTTTCTTAATCGGTATAGCCCATACAAATTTACTAAATGCATTAATAACAATCAAAATATAATTATATCCTTTGTTAACTTTAGAGTAATGAATCATAACAGCCAAATCAGCTTGAATTAGATCATTCAACCCTTTAACAATAACATGTCGTCGCTTGTATTTTTTTCTAGCTGGTTTATGTAGTTCATTAACAACTTGAATCTTAGACATTTTTTTCTAATGGACATTGAAAAACAAAATCAGCACACATTTCATCTGGTGTTCCCAGTTTAAACTCAATTTTATCATTTTTATTAACGATTATCCCTGATAATTGATGGTATTTATATGGCTTAGAATTTAATAAAACTTCTCCATCTGCACTGTAATGTTTACAACTTTCAATTTTACCTGCTATAGGGAAAACGAAAGCAGTACCTTGATTATCCAAAATATAAAAGTCTTTATTATTCTTTATTATTATTATTTTTTATTCGTTTTACACCTCTTAATCTGATAAAACATTTACTATGAAATGAAACTGGCTCACAAATATAAAATGGTGAAGTAAAATTTAAAACATTAGTTTCATTGCTTTGACTACTCAAAAAGTGACCTCCGAATTTGTTGATTGGCATTGTCTTACTAATTAAAACTTAATTGGGTTCACATTATTATACCCCCTTCTCTCAATTCCTCAATGATTGACACAATCTCGTTATTATTACCTGTATTTCCAGCTGTTTGAGATACTACAAGTAATCTAAGTCGGTCAATTAACTCATTGTAATTATCAAAATATTTATAATCAATAGGTTTATTTGAATATTGTAACATTCCTTTTCCAATTTTTTTACTCCTTGTCATTATTCCACTCATTAATGAAGATGGTATTGATGAAACTCTCCGTCTAAACGGTCCTGTTTCTAACTTTGGTTTAATAATAAAATTATATTTATCCTTAATATCCCTAGAAAAATTTTTAATTGGTAAATCCGGATCATTATTTCTTTTAGCGGCATTGGTTCTTTTTATTATATCCACATATTCATTAACATCAGTTTGTTTATATGCAATCGGTTCTTTTAAAAAAAGTAATTCATAAAGTCCAGGCGTTCCGGGATATTTAATACCTTTTATTACAATATCAGAACCATCAAAGTTTAATTCAGAGTCTCCAATGCGAAACTTTTCGGTTTCCATATCGTGGTAAATCCCCAAAACATGATCAAATTTATTTTCGATATCTGAAATATTTCTAAGAATATAATCTCTAGGTAATGGTGCTGTAAATTGATCCATATATTCAACGAATGCAGGAGGTGGATTTGTAGTTAAATTTTGTAGACTTTTAATTGTATCCTCTATATATTCATCAACTTGCTCATCACTGGTCCTAGGTTGATATTCATACGTTTGATCTGGTTGATTTTCATAAATTTCTGATTCATTTAAACGAGTACTTTCATGTTCTGGAGCATGTTTAATTGTTTGACTTACCGGTGATGGAAAAGAAGAATATGCTATTTTATTATAATCTTTTCGCAGAGGTTTACGCAAAAAACTGAACTTTTCTGATTTCGGTGTTAAATTTTCTTGTTTAATTATTTCTTGTTTCCCCAAAACTGAAACCAGTTGTTTAAGGGGGTCTGTTATTGGTTGATATGTTTTTTCTAAATGAGTTTGTGATTTATTTATATCACTTTTTAAACTTTTATATTTTTTCTTTAAAGCTTGTCTAGCTTTTATTAGTTGTTTCGCTACGCGTGCATCCATTTCAAGTAAAATGTTCGAATACTAAATCTCTTTATATACGTATAAAACTATCAAAATTTTTCCTATATTTACAATGTGAATCCTTATCAATAGTTAGAAAATCATATTTTTTTTTGCCAGCAAAATGAACATATATCTATAAACTCTTTAAAAGACATATCGATATTAACATGATCATCGTAAATGTGTTTCAAATTAGTCATATCTTGTGGGAAAATAATTAGAAGATTCAGATTATCTCTTATATACTGCTTCTTAGCTGAACTATATGTCTGACAAATATAAATACAATCGGTGTGTTTATGTCGACCATAACAAAAATAACTTTGAATAATTTTTTGATCGCTGGGGGCTACATCATCAAATATAATTAAAGAATTATCTTTAATATCTTCTGGCTGAATTATATCTTTAGATTCACAATATTCTTCATAATCAATTTCTTTAATGGGTTGAATGAGATTTTTTAGATATTTGTATTTGGGTTGATGAAGACTTTTGGAATACACATATATATTTTCAAATCTTAATCCGTTAGGGTGTTCAATTAATGAAAGCATACAGTTTGTCTTTCCAGATCCACTAGGTCCAACAATTAAACATCTCTTAGAATCACCACTAAATAAATAACCATGCTTATTAAGTTTTTCATCATTAACAATTAAATCGTGATTTTTGACTGGTAATGTCATGTGTTGTTTTTCAACCTTCATTTTAATGAATTCTGTTGATGACTGAGAGTATATATAGTGTGGGTGGTAGTATATAAAAAGCATAATGGTTAGACATCAGCGAAACAGTTTACATCGAAGAGGGAAAGGTTTAGTAAATTCTTTTATAAACAAACTACCAATTGAATTACATTTTCCGGGTTTTTCCTACTGTGGTCCAGGCACTCAAGTTGATAAGAGATTACAGAGAGGTGATAAAGGCATAAACCAATTAGACGCCGCCTGCAAAGAACATGATATTGCATATTCGCAAAGTTCAGATCTCAAATATAGACATCAAGCTGATAAAATATTAGAAAATAAAGCTTGGGAAAGGGTTAAATCTAAAGACGCTAAATTGGGTGAAAAAGCAGCTGCTTGGTTTATAACAACAGCGATGAAAGGCAAACGTAAACTTGGGATGGGTTTAAAAAAACGTAAAACTAAAAAAAGGATTATTCGAGTACCAAAAAAAGGTGGATTTTTACCCTTACTAATCCCTATTATATCTGCGTTGGCAGGATTGGGTGGAATGGGTGCTGGAATTGCCAAGGCTGTAAATGATGCCAAAACAAATCGTCAACAACTTGAAGAACAAAAACGTCACAATTTACAAATGGAAACTAAAGGAAAAGGTTTATATTTAAGACCATATAAAGGAAAAGGATTGCGATTAAAAAAGAAATATAAAAAAAAGTCAAAAAACTAATACTACCACAGCGAGCGCTTACAGACATAGATTTAAAAAAATTTGTAAAAATATTGAAAATACCACACTTTAGAGGGGTTTTTATGAGAGATTCCTTACCACCTAAAGTTCATAAATATGAAAGTGGTATTATAAATATGGATTCAAGTAAAGGACCAGGAACACACTGGACTGCATTTACAAAAAAAAAATAAAAATGTCGTATATTTTGATAGTTATGGAAACTTACAACCACCATTAGAGCTGATTAAATATTTAAATAGTAGTGGGGGTGTAAATATAACTTATAACTATGATAGATTTCAAAATAATTCTTACAAGTGTGGTCATTATTGTTTAAAATTCCTATATAATCAATATAATTTAAAAAAGTTTTCATTCTAAATATTTCTTTATTGAGTAAATATGTCTTTTTCTTTTACGTTAACTGGTAATTCTTCAATTTTAAGTTATGATTTTAACCCCCCAATATATTTAGATGAAAATACTGATTATGAAATAGGGTTAGTTAGTTTTAATAGTTTTAACACAATTCCTAATATTGATAATACAAATAATATATTTGTATGGGGTGAAAAAAATAAAATGAATATATTTAAAGTACCAACAGGTGCTTATGAATTAGATGAACTTATACGTGTTTTGAAAGAACATATGAATGATATAGATAAAAATTCCGAAATAAAAATAGTTCCTGATTTAAATACATCAAAAATTTCTATATCAAGTAATCGCATAATTTCTTTTAATAATACAAATTCAATTGCTGAAGTATTTGGCTTTGGTGCTAAAAGACTTGAACCTCATAAAACATATATATCAGATCACCCTGTTAAAATTTTAAAAGTGAATTCCATAGGCATTGACTGCAGTATTGCTGCAGGTTCCTATTTAAATGGTAAACCAGTACATATTATACATCAATTTTTTCCGACAGTGCCCAGTGGGTATAAAATAGTCGAATCTCCTCAAAATATTTTATATTATCCCGTAAGCGTTAAGACGATCAACAACTTAACTATTAAAATTATTGATCAAAGCAGAAATCTAATAAATTTTCGAAAAGAAGAGATTACAGTTACCCTTCACATTAGAAAAGTATAATGGTTTTAAAATTTTTCCACCCATATAAAAACTATAAAAGATTACCAAATCAGAAAAAATGTAATAGTGCTATAAAATCAAGAGCAGTAATAACATCTAATAATAAAAAGTTTTTAACTTCTCTTGGATTTAAAGTCTTAATATAATGGATATTCTTAATGTAACAACTCACCCCTTTAATGATACCAGTATTGAAGAATGTCAATTTCATAATTATCAACCCTTTATCCCCGGCAAATTAAATTACAACGATGAGATTAGAATCCCTATTCAAGAGCTCGATTCTTATACATTACCATCACAAAGTTTTTTATATATTGAAGGAAAGTTATTAACTGATTCTGGAAATGTACCAACTAAACTAAAATTTATTAACAACGCGATAGCATTTTTATTCCGTGAGCTACGTTATGAATTAAATGGGGTTGTAATAGATTCTGTAAGAGACTTAGGTTTAACTTCAACAATAAAAAATTATCTAAGTCTAAATGAAAACGAAAGTGTTTTAATGCAAAATGCAGGATGGTACCCTAAAGAAATCAAAAAAATTGTTACAGATTCTAAAGGTGTTACAACAGTAGAGATTGAAAAAATATTAGTAGATAAGGATGGAAACTTTAATGTTTTTATACCTTTAAAAATGTTATCAGGTTTTTTTGAAGACTATAAAAAAATTATTATGAATATGAAACAAGAATTGGTATTGATTAGATCAAGTGATGACATCGATAGTGTGATAAGTTCTGATCAAACTGAAAAACCAATGATTGAATTAAATAGGTTATATTGGTCAATACCACATATAAAACCTAGCTTAAGCCAACAACTTCGACTAACTAATATTAGTAAAAGCAATAAAGAATTACCAATTAAATTTCGCTCTTGGCAAATGATACAATATCCATCCTTGAGTTCTTCAAAAATAAATACGTGGGTAGTAAAAACAAGTTCCAAAATTGAGACTCCAAGGCATGTTATTATTGCGTTTCAAAAAAGTAGAAAGGGTAATTTAACAAAAGATTTTAGTAAATTTGACCATTGTAAACTTAATAATATTCGAATATTTTTAAATTCGGAAAGGTATCCATATAATGATTTAAATTTAGATTTTGACAATAATAAATTTGCTACTTTGTATGAAATGTTTGCTAATTTCCAAGGAAGCTATTATGACCTTCACATGAATCAACCAATATATAACCCCATCGAATTTAAAAATAATGCTCCATTAGTTCATATTGATTGTTCAAGACAAAAAGAAGTTTTACAATCAGGTAGTATTGTTTTGAGAATTGAATTTGAAACGGATGAACCAACATCATCAGAAACATCTGCTTTTTGTCTTATTCTTCACGAGAAAGAATTTACTTATAATCCAACAACAAAGATTGTTAAACAATATTAATGCGCATGCGTAAATATAGCTATAAAAAACCATGTCCTATATTAATTTATTTAATATGTCATTAAAAGAAAGACTAGACAGACATTTTTATAATTTACGAAAACTCCAAAAAGATATTGAATTTTATAAACAAATGAAAAATATTATCAAAAAAGTTCAAGAATTAAAATTATGAAAAAACTCGTTGTGGATATACAAGTATTTAAGCTGGAAAATAATAAATTTCTTGTAAAAGAATTTGCTGCTTATGACGGTTTTCATATATGTCATTATGAATTCAAACCACCATTTCCTATTAGATTACTCTCCCCTGATTTACACCGACAAGCCACCTGGTTAATGAATAATTATCATTTTATTGATTGGAACATTGGTTTTACTCCAGTACACCAGTTTTGTAATATTTTACAATCTTTAACAAAACAAGTTGATATGGTTTACGTTAAAGGAATGGAAAAAGCCAATTATATCAAAAAACACTCCCTAGCTCCTGTATACGAATTTGATGAGCAGCCATCACTTCAGTTAATGAAACCGAAATGTTTTTATCATACTAGTAATAATTGTATTTGTGCTATATCAAATGTTTATTTTTTATATAAAAATTTTATAATGCAATAAATTTAAAAAATATAATATAATATTTTTTATGTAACCCACACCTTTAAAGGTATTTAAAACTACGACCTTAAATTTATTCCTTAAAATCAATATGTGTGCTAACGATTACTCACGCTTGTTGGAATTATTTGATCACAGATTAAAGTCGTTTGAAAATTGGAAAGGCGTTGTATCTCCAATAGACTTAGCTGTAGCTGGATTCCACTACATTAATGAAGAAGATGTTGTTAAATGTTTTGAATGTGATATTAAAATTAATAAATGGAAGCCTGGTGATGTTCCGATTTTAGATCATTTAAAATTTAGTCCTAATTGTAGCTATGCTAAAATGATGGAGTCTACAAAAAAAAAATAAATGAAGAAAAATGTTCGTTTTTTCTAATTATTTTATTGTCATTCTTTTTACTATCTGCTATAGATGCATATTTTTATACGTTTATAGTTTTATTATTCATTATAACAATACACAAAACTCTGGAAAAAATTATCATATCTGGTTTAATGACATTTACTCTCAGTACTAAAATTGGCTTGAATAACCGGGCTGATGTTATTGAGACAGATGATGACCTTCAGAGACTGGTTTAATACCATTCATGACAAGTTGTAAAAATATATATATATATATATATATATATATATATATATATATATATATTGTAATGTAATTTTCAATTTTGAATATAATTAATTTTTTTTTTATATTTATTTTATTTTATTTGTTTATTTTATATTACCTGGCTAGCTTTATTTTATGTTATATAATTGTATTAAAATATTTCATATGATGAATCAATAAGTAATAATATTATACTTACTTGTTTTATATTAAGTTCTAATTATCTATACCTTTCATTGAACATGAGACAACTTTAATAATTACCTTATTTTTTTTTATATATATAGAATTGAATTTACCTCAGGAATTTAATTTTAGAGCGAGTTCATGAAACTATTCATCCAATACCCCCTGTAATATAATATTTGCAAATAATTTGTGATTGTACTCCTTATCCAAACTCGTATTGCCAATGTCAATTTATATTTAAAATAAAACCCTAGAAAATATACTATTTTGTAGACAGAACATGAACATATTTATTTTAACATTGTTTAAACATCAGTTAACATAACCTTTAAACTAATTATTATTAAGATATATAACCACTAGTGCTATCATCCGTCTTCATTCTCACAGGAAAGTACTAAATAATTACAGAATTTAATTTTATATTATTCCTCAAGTGTCTTATTATTTCATAAGTTGGTATCACTTTTTTTTTAACCTTACTTTATTTAAATTTTATTCGAATAACAAATAATGCAATAGTAAGATCTTTTGGGAATAATATAAAAGTAATGTGTGACGAAATCAAAATTATCTACACAGGTAAGATTAGTATAAAATTGTTTATAATTAATACCTTGTACAGTTCTTTTTGTAGGTTACTCTTTCAGTGACGAACAGAAGTGTCTTTTCTCAGGTAAGACAATGTTATTATCCTCTCCTGATGAATTGTAGTCCAGAAAACACCACAATACAGACTTTCTCGACTCCTATGTTGACTGTCACTTAGTCATTGGCACCATTTCATCGGAATTACACCTTTTATGTAGGTACAGCGAAACACTTTATGGGTAGGTACATTTACTAGTTATCAAATACAATTGAAAATACAATATCAACTTGGATGGTTAGGGTTTATTCTAAATATAACTTTCTTGTTTTTCTTATTAAAAATCAATTTTTTTCATGACATCTCTTGTCATCCCCCTTTTGTTATCAACAAAAACTTATTTTTTCCTCGCATCAAGTTACAAAAAAAATGTTATTCCTAGAATCTTTCATTATGACAAATTTGACAACCTTTTCTTGATTTTAAAATACAGGATGTACTATTTTACATGTTTATGTTAATATAAGTTTATCTAAAGTTAATAAAGGATTATAGTTTACTTTGAATTAAACATCATCTCTCTTTTCATCACTGAGTGATATTGGATAAATGTTTCAGTCTAAAAAAGTCCCACTATTGTTATCTATTCCAAAAATTACTATTTAATTAATATTAAGGTAACAAATGTAATTTAATTATCTTTACTATTGTAAATCAGTTCACCTCATGTTAGTGAATTCAGTGTCTCAGTTACTTAATTTTTAACTTTTTATATATTCAATTTTATAATATACTCAACTAAAGTTTATGACTTCACTATAGTCATCTTTAATTGATTTATTACATCACAATATATATATATATATATATATATATATATATATATATATATATATATATATATATATAGATTCGTCCTGCCGACTTTGTGACATCATGTCGCAAAAATGTTGCTATCTTTATAACATCCGTCTGCGATGTGACATCCAAATTCGGATGTCACAAAGTTTTTGGGGTTCAAACATCATAAAGGAGGTTTAAAAGGGCGCCAAAAAAATTTCAGCTGGATGTCATAATGCTTAATTTTCAATTTTATGTATATATTTAGTTCCAGTGTATAGATGCGAAGGTGGCGCTCGCGTCAGTTGGTTTTGTATATTTTGTATATTAAATATTTCAGTCCCTCGACTGTCTGGCATCCACCATTAAGTATATTAGAATTTACTCACTCGACTGTCTGACATCCAACATTCAGTATATTAAAACTTACTCACCCGACTATCTAACATCCACCATAGAGTATATTAGAACTGTACACACTAGGTTATGTGACATCCAAAAAATTTATTTTAGATATATTTGGATTTTCATTTTAAGATCTATTTTATGTTAACACATTAACTGCCAAAAATTTTTGTTGGGTTTCGCATAGAGCCAATAAGTTTTTTAAATGCATTTACTCTCTGTAACTAAGAAATATATATGCAGCTATATTATTACAAGGTGTATCAACAATGGATGAGTGGACGATGACTGTAATTTATATTAAAATAAATCAAATAAAATTAAATTAAAAT